GGTCAGTAATGGTCGGCAATACATGTGCACTTAATATGCATTATTGATCTGTAATAGTGGTACATTGTTTCTTGGCAGGACTTTTTAATATATAATAATTCATTATAAAATTTCTATTCTAAATTATTTATTAAAAGAATAAATAGATATATTTTCACTTAAAACTTAAATAAAAAAATTGATGTTCTCTCCTCTTCAATCCAACATGTTAAATAAATTATAAAAAAAAAAATCTACCTCCTGCTTTATCTCTCTCTGGCCTCTCAGAAGAAAAAAAAATAGAATAAATATTTTCTCTGTCCTGTCATTAGCCGGTTGAAAAATTGATTTTTAAAACATTATTTACTTAACTTAATTTATAAAATTAATTACATTAAAAATTAGTCCCATTGAATGTCAATTTTTCTCTCTCGCTCTCTCTCTCTCTTTCAGCTCTATCTCTTTCTTAAGGAAATGAAATGCAATGCACCTGGACTTTTATTATGAGATGAGAGAGTAGAAAGTGAAAGTGAGAGGAACACACAACTCTTTTTGGCCTATTGGTTGAGAGCTTAGGCTTCTAACTAAGAGGCTCAGGATTCGAGTCTATGTGTATGCGTTGTGTGTGTGAGTTTACCTTAAATGGCCTAAATGTCCCAAAAAAAAAGTGAGAGGAACTGATGCGTTCGGCTTTAAATGGGGATCTGTTCGGCTCGGCAATTGCTTCGTGCGGTAGCTAGGTTGAGACATTTAGGTCATTTAAGGTAAACTAACACACACAGGGCATGCATACACAAAGACTCGAATCCAAGACTTCTTAATTAGAAGCCTAAGCTCTCAACCATCAGGCTAATATGAGCTGTATGTGAATGCATATATGTATTGGGGAAGTTTTTCTCTTTCACTTCATTACACTACAGCAAGATGCGGTATCCGAAAATGAAACAGAGAGGCGTGGCAATGAGAAGTGTAACGGCCATATGTGGTAGCAATCAAAACGCTCTAGACGTTTCATATTTTGAAGCAGAACGGCCGGTCGGATGCCATAGAGAAAATCTAGGGTTGAAATCGAAGTTTGACTGTGGCAGAGGAAGTGTTCGGTAAATAAAAATATTTTATAAGAAATGATGAATGAAAGAATTTGAAGAGTCATATATGAACGTTGTAGATCAATTTAAAATTTATAGATAAACAATCAAGATTTGTTATATATAGGTGGAATCCCAAATCACTTTTATATATTAGTATAAATAATAATTCATTAAAAATTTTCATTCTAAATTATTTATTAAAAAAATAGTAAAATATATTTACACTTAAAACTTAAATAAAGAAAATGGTGATCTCTCCTCTTCAATCCAACAAGTTAAACAAATTTTTTTAAAAAACATATCTTTCCTGCTTTATCTCTCTCCTGCCTCTCAGAAAAAATAGAATAAAAATTTTATCTCTCCCGTCAGTAGCCGGTCGAAAAATGTTTTTTAAAATATTATTTACTTAATTCAATTTATAACATTAATTACATCAGGCTAATATGAAGAAATTAATATAATATATGAGGTCAGTAAAGGTCGGCGTCTGGGCTGGACTTATTAGCTGGCCATATGGGCCCCTTAATCATGATTTTCTTATTGTTTTTATCAGTACGAATGAACATATTAATTATGAGTCCAGAAATTGTGGTCCAGGTGATACATCGGATCTTGAAAAGTTGTTTAGACATATCTGATTTCTAATGGTAGCACGTTATCTCTTAGCGGGACTTTTCTATGGACTTATTTGCTTGCCATGTGGGCTAGTTTTAGTTTAAGCTTCAATTTATAGCTTCAATTCATGGCTAATGAAAAACGGTTAACTACACAACTAGTCTTGGTCTGTTGATTAAAATTTTAGATTATCAATTAAAAGGTCTTGAGTAGGTGTCTTTTGTATGCGTTGTATGTTTGACGTCGGGTAGAAGTCCGACATCAATTGGCGGCCGTGGAGAACTCCGTCGTCAATTGGAGTTCGGGTGAAACTCCGGCGTCACTTGGAGGTCGAGCTGAATTCCGGCATAACTTGAAGGTCGGGCGGAATTCTGGCGGTGGTCGAGGAGGAGTTTCTTCTCTCCTACTTGTCTCTTCTTCTTCTTGCTTCTCCTTGCTTAGTCCCCCTCTCAAGAGAAATGAAGGGTCTATTTATAGATATTATGGAGTGGCATGACCCATAAATAGATGAGAGATCAAAGGTAAATATGGAGTGGTTCGGATGGACGGCAAATATTGAATAATTTGATTGTGGACCGTTTATTAGACTTTTGAAGGTCTTAGTGATATCAGAATTTGGCGATCTTGGGCTCGTTGGATTCATCTCTTTGAGCCGCTCGATTCGATTATAAGCACGTCATGTTTGGAAACCATTTGGTAATCCAAATTGTGGTTTGAATCTTCCAACAGTGCTTCGGGTCCTTGATTTGGACTCATTTAGGCTCGGATTGAGTAGAATTTGGTGTCGTTGGGTTCTTATTTCTAAGACTCTTAGTTTAACTATAAATTTGCCGAAATCAGAGTTCAGGTGATCCCGAATTTAATTTTTGAAGTTTTCGGTTTGATTTTTACCTCAAAATTCATGTCGGATCAAGATAATTTTTTGATAACATATCAATAAGTATTATAAATATTTTCTTAAGAAAATTGAATAATAATATTTTTTTTTCTGTCAACTCTCACTTTAGCAAATTTTGTTGAACAAATAAAAATTTTATCACATAAATATCATAAAACCAGCAATAAAAGTTAATATGGACAGAGAAGCGTAACAATGATCTAAATGCAAAGCAAAAAAGCTGTCCCAAATAAACCCTTTGGGCTGCTTTTCATAACTTTTTCTTTTACAAAAACTAACATAATTTATTATTTGGTTATACTTGTTTTTTTTTAATCAGAAGTGTTTGATAAAAATATTGTTTATAATCCAATATTTTAAAATAGATCAGCCCTACGAAATTTGATATATCATTTTATTAAAAAAATTCATAACAACACAACAAACTTAATAATTTCTTTTATTGTTTCTTAATAATACTGAAGCTATTTCTAGAGATAGTTATGACTACCTCAAAAAAAATTTATATTTATAATTTCAAAATATTGTCAAAAGTCATAAATATCATTAAAACTGTCAAAATCATCAACATTGAGTCTAAGGCTTTGTTTGGGACGGCTTTTTTATTGTTTTCTAAAACGGAGTTTTAGTTAAAAAATAAAAAAAAATGTACTATAACTCCGTTTTGAAAAACAATAAAAAAACCGTCCCAAACAAAGCCTAAATCATCACAATATAGCACAAATTATAATGCAAAACCTTTTGTAAAATCATTTAAAAATTTCAGCCAACAAACTAGCTCTGGTTATTTGTTTATTTTTATTTATTTAATTTTTTTTTGTTATGATTGATGTCTTATCTAATTTTTTTTTTATGAAGCTAATAGGGGAACTACATGGGAAAATGTAGTGGTAGTCAATCTTTTTCCCCATCAGTTATATGCTAATTATTTGCTGACATTCATGGTTGTCATTATGGGTGTAAACAAGTCGAGTTGTGCTCGAGCAATTCCTGACTTGAGCTTGAGCATAATTTATTAATTGAGTTCGAGTTCGAGCTCAATTTTTATTTTATGAGTTTGAGACGACTCATTTTTTATGAAAAAGAGAAAATAATTATAATTAAAACAATTCTTATAATAAAATGATTAAAAAAAATTATTAAAAAATGATAAACAATCACTTGATATAAGAAAGTGATATTAATCTTATAGATTTTCAATAATTTTGCAGTTAAAACTTAAAAGCCCTGAATTCTAATAAATTTTTAATTGTCCTTTATATTAATAGTTTTTTTTTTTAAATTAATTGAATTAAGGTTGTTTCAAGTTTGACTTTTTAGCTCATTGAGCTGGGCCCATAAATCATTTATCGAGTTGAGCCCGAACTAGCTCATGAGTCAGTTTGACACACTTAAATTCCTAGTTGCTACTTTTGGCCTGAATAGCATCTTGAACGCATTCACTTTCAATGGTGGCCGGGTTGCAAGAGCTAAAAGTGCTATATCTTTCTCTAAGCTCGCCTCAATTCCATTCTCATTATTCCTTATGCTAGTAGCAGTTTTACATACGTACGTGGGAATCAAAAGATCTCTGCATCTTATAAATTTCCAACCTCTGATTCACTCCTTAGCTCGCAAACTGGATGGTTAGAAGGCTGAATCTCTTTCGTTTGCTGAGAGATTTTAGCTCATTAAATTCCCCATTGGAAGACCATAGCTTATTCGTTAAGATCCCTCAACATCCTCACAGTGAGAGATTATTAAGGATTTGGTGCTTTTCCAAGAATTCTTCCATCTGGAATCATTTCAACTCTTAAGGCTTCCCCTTGTTGGAATAAACATTGCGTTCATGCAGTACAGTAAACATTTCTCAACATTTCACCTTTTCTGTTGGCAATGGGCACAAATGCACAATCTCCTCCTCTCATAGGATTTATGAATATTAAGGTTCCGTTTGGGATGACTTTTTATTGCTTTTTAAAATGAAGTTTTAGTTCAAAAATTAAAATTTTTGTACTAAAACTTCATTTTAAGAAGCAATAAAAAAATCATCCCAAGTGAAGCCTAAGTTATTTGGGAGAAATATGCTTTCTGCACTTCCTCTTCCATCTGACTTTGTGGGACATTAAGCAGATTTGCCTAAGATATTAATGTAGGAATCCAATTCCTATCTAAAATATTTTATGAAGCTTTATCACTATCAAAAGAAAAAAAAAAAGAAGGAAAAGCAAGATAAAAGAAGATGAACATTCATTATTTTCATCAAGCCTCCTACTCCCTAATTTTGGGAATATTTAGGTTTGCA